ATTGAGAAGCCTAATTGGATCCCAACAAGCGTATACGTTATATGTAAATAACCCTCCTTCCTTAGCCTTTTATTTCAATGTTTACATAGGGAGATCATATCGAGCAAAAGTAAATCTTCAAATCGGAATATTGAGCAAGTTTATGTAGGTGTTTCACAGCGCATCCCAACAGCACACGGAATACTAAATTTCATAAGATTCTTAATGATGAATCACGAATTTCTCAATTTTTGTATAGCCACCATATGTGTATTTGATGTTGTACTGCAAATCGATTGTTGTATAAAAAAATATTGCATTTGTAGAACAAACGTTGCATTGATTTCAAGTTTAACCGGATGTTATGCCAGAAGTTTCAATATGCATACAAAATTAGATTTTTTTCGAATGTCGTTAAATAAAAGAGATATTGCGGTGACTATTATTTCGAACACACTGTATGTGAAGAACCGTAAATATAAAAGGATTTAAAACAATATTTATGGAAAGTTTGACAAAACGAAAACCGAAGCGCCAACAAAGGGGGGGGGGGGGGTAAATCAATACCAACTCTCGACAATGTGGCGACAAATACGATTTGAAACAATGAACTTATTGATGGACATGACGCAAATTACAAACAATATACGAAGAATCGCATACGATTTTCAGTAGGGGAATTTTTTGGCACTCAGCTCGCATTCGGAAACCAGACTTTTAATCCGGCTCATATTCAATCCCACTGATCCTTGAACTCGTAGAAATCGATTAGTTTGACATCGGTATCTCGAGTTAGGCGAGGAACAGACAGACGGACAAAACCATCACGTAGGGAATTTTTTATCATTTGAAAAATCCACCTAAAATCTCGCCGGATTACAATCGACAAAATAAAAACTTGAACTTGGCATAAGTAATATTGTTTGGTTGAATGTTCTTGAAACCTTGACTGTTTTCAACCTTACGAATTATTCTTCTGCATATTTCATTGAAAAAATCGCAAAAATTTACGTAAAATAATCGCTCTCGTTACAATCAAATGATTTATTTATACTTATGCCACCTGTTCGAATCTATTAGAATCAAGGCACGCTATAAGGACGGACAGACAGGTACCGCAAAATTATGAACTCGCTAGGAGCTCGTTAATAAAGTGGCAATAGGTATGTAGAAATCGAATTGCGAGTAAGGATACTTCTACAAAAAATATTCGCTTTACTTCTAAAGCTCTATTACAGAAACAGATTTTTCTAATTCAAAGAGATAGTATGTAATCCTGAAACGCATGGAGAACAAGCGAGATGAAAAGCAACCAGCATCATGCTTTACCTGATGCTTAAAATTGTCCAAAAAAAACACTACAAAAACCAAACCGCGTGGATTCTTCGTCTACCTCACTTGGTTTCGCAGTATAGCCTGCGCCGGGGTCCAAAAACGACTCTAACACCTAAGCGAAAACGTATTAAAGGTGAAATTCCCTTCTTACAAAAGCTATGGACGCCGAGCCGGTGGTATTAACGACTATGCGAATTAAGAATTAGGAAACCACAGTTATCAACTAACACTGCCATGCGCATTTTAGTTCTAGTACTTAGTTTTTTTTGTTAACGTAATCAGTCAAGATTATCCCTACCTACCACATTCACAATTCACATCAAACAAATTCATCATCGTAATTTCACACTCGCTGTTCGAAGTCCGACAAATCGCGCAACTTTCTCTGGGAAGAAGGGCAATGGAGAGCGAAACGTAAAATTGTATTTTATTTTAATAATTAATTTACGTTTTTACTTTTAGAGAAGACCACAAGAATGTATCCCTAATTGAGAATGGCAAAGAGGAACCAAAGTTACCCACTGCTATGTATAGCCGTGAATTCATTATCAATGTGAGTAGACTATTTTTAGTACGTTTTCAAGGTTTCGTCAATATTTCGCAAACATTTTTCATCAATAAAGTCGGGTGCCTACAATTAAAAAATCATGGGAAATAAACAAATTCATTGCTGTTGAAACTGAACCTGAACGTAATAACTTTTCGATCGAGGTACCTATATTTCCAAGAGGACTAGATTTCGATTTTCATACGGCATACCTTGCCTAAATTCAATTACTAAGTTTTGTATAAGATCCTATTGTATAGCATGTCGAATCGGAATGTCTTTTGTACAATTGTACGTTCTGCACCTGGGCATTGAACTTTATCATCATTTAACACTTGCTAAGAAAGCACGAGACCACTAGGTCTTTCTGATATTAGCTGGATGGAATGTGTGGATATACAAAATATGAATATAAAAGTAACTCAAAACAGTGATTTCAGATATTACTCATGCTCGCTGTTGTTGTTAGTGCGACCAGTTCTGGAATGGCAATGGGGTACCCTGCGGTTCTGTTACCGCAATTGAAATCGAATGATTCAATATTATACACGGATGAAGAAATGGGATCGTGGATAGGTAATAACTAAGACACTTTGTTGAGTTCGTTCGTTATTTGGAAACACCGATATCCGTGAAGTAACAAACTGAAATTAAAACCACAAAAATCACTAAAAAACCACTTTTGTTATTTGGTGCTTTTGATTTAGTTTGTGTGAATAAATTGTTTGGTTGGGAATGATAAATTATTATTCTTTTCATCCTTTCCCATGAAAATGTTATTACCTAACAAGTAAAAATTTTCCTATGAGAAGACTAGAAGAATAATAATTATTACAGCCTTCCCATTATGAAGATCTACATGAATCACATTTATTAACTGCAAAAATTCGATGCAACTGAATTCCGAACGATCCTCGACATCGCTGTACCTTTTTGGCCCGATGGTCTACGTTGCTGAAAAACAACAGCGACCTTTCTTATTGAGTACCTACCAATTTTCAAAGCGATCGGACGTTTCTAAACAAAGTTGGGGGACAAACAGACACACAGCAATACAAAATTATAAACGATCTCGAGCATCATTAAAAGTATTACGAGTAGGTAGATACAACAAAGTTTCGAGTGTCATAACTGAATAAAATCGTGTCAGTGTGTTGTCAATTGAACCTGTGGCACACACGGTGTGATTAAGGGCAACATTGGTGCTATATTGTAATGTAAAAACAGTAAGTCGGTGCATGCGGGGGTGGCTGTGGTGATGTAGGTTCACTTTTTCTGCATTGAACATGGCAGTAGGCTTTTCATTGCCAATGTATAACTTACAAGGAGGCGTTTCTCATAAAATATGTCTTTAATATAATAGTATAGTTTCAATCTCGGTTTCAATTTTATTTGAAAGAAATAGGTATTCTAACTTTCAAATAGGTAAACAAGCAAAAATCTATTTGGTTACGATAGCATAGAATAAATTAATTATAAAACCAACAAGTTAAAATGTCATTATGCAAACATAAATGACGAAAACGTATTTTCCTCCTAATAATATTAATGCTAGGGACCGGGAGAAAATACCCGTAGGCACGAGATCCTAACCCCATTCTCTTTCAAATGAGCCGCCTATCGTCGAAGTCTGTAAAGTTTACTGAAAAACAGTGGAGCGTCTACAAATATGAAAAAGAGCCTACTAGTCCGGGAAATAGAGACCGAAAAATGGTCAATTTCCGGCAAAACGAGAAGTAGTTCCAATTTTTTGCATGTCATGGAGGAAGGTGGTTAAGAATCCAAGTTTTCGACCTCCCACCCCTTGTGCTTCCTCCGTAACATCCCTAAAACCAAAGAAATTTGGTTGGTTCTTTAGTTTTTCATATCTTTTTATAGATTCACTTTACAAAAAAATATTGTTATTAAAAATGGTAGACCATGGTGGTGGTGCACGGTAAGTAGGAACATAGGGATTTAACATGGGAAATTAGTTTTATGCAATATCCTGCCCTCCTGTACATTTTACAGAAAAAACGGAGTTTAAAGTTGTTCAGAATTAAAAGATGCATACAAAACTGTTTTTACATGTTTTATTAAGCTTTTGGTATACCCGCAAATTTAAAAATAAATTTCAACATTTCTGTTATTAGTAGCAATAGCTGGCGCCTTTTGTTGTTTTATGAATTGCTACTAATAACAGAAATGTTGAAATTTATTTTTAAATTTGCGGGTATACCAAAAGCTTAATAAAACATGTAAAAACAGTTTTGTATGCATCTTTTAAGCTTTTTTTTTTAACTTTTTTGAAAAATTTTAAAGTTTTTTACTTCAAACGTATATTAGAAAGCGCTACTATCTCACAGTGATTCAAATATCCCCACTAGTAAGGGTAGAAAGTTGAATGCATCCCCTTTGATAAGGGTGCAGGGTGGGGGGATTTATATCACGATGAGTTCAAGATATTTTCTCATAAAACTCTTAATTATAGAGATACAGTATCAAATTTGGTTAAAACATTTGCATAGAAATTTCAGAATTATAAAAATTTACTTTGAAGCTCTATATCTTTTATTTTAAACATTTCACAAAAAAAGTAGTGTATATCAAAGTTGTGGCGAATTTTATGGTCTACAATTTCTGATAACAATATTTTTCTCTAAAGTGAACCATTAAATATACAGTGTGTCCCAGATCTGGTGGAATTGCATGGGTAACTTTCTTATTATTAAAGATAGAGAATTGGTTAAATGAACAATGTTTTGCAGTTTTAGATGCTTATGTAAAATTTCTTTGTGGAAATTCAAAATGTCGAATAGGTTCGACGTAAATTCAAAAAAACTAAAATTGGTTATTTCCTATAAAGTCTTATATCATCGAAAGTATAAGAGATATATATAAAAGTTACTGTCTTTGACACGCCTAATTTAGAATTGATGTCAAAACAAAATTAAAGATGGGTACCTTTGAGGAACATTTACCAACTTCCTAAAGTTAAATAGGCGCTATATTGGATTTTTACATTATTTGATAGATTTTTTAATTCCCTTTTCAACGAGCTATAGCATAAGATTAAAAATTAGATACCAGTTATATCAACGGTTATTATATTTTAATCAATTCCGAATAAACGCCAAAATAAGGAAAAATTGTCACTTATGAGCGGGTGTAGAAGGGCGGAGGGGGTATTGGTCGTGGAGTGGGAGGGTACGAATGCGTAGATGCCACCTAGTCTCACGCTTGTAACATTACTCGGCTTCGCCTCGCACATTAAACCACAGAAGGAAGAGATTGCTCGGCTTCGGCGACTGCGTCTTGTGCATTTACCCAATTTTCCTTAGATTGTAGAACGCGACTGGTCTATATGCGATACCAAGGTAAAAAAACCTCAAGTTCTAGCCCTTGTCGTTTCCGAGTAAACGCAAAAACGTAAAAAAGGGTGATATGTTTTAACAGTTGGGTAGAAGCGAGGGTAGGATGGAGTGTTGGTAGTGGAGTCGGGGGGAGTGAATACGAGACCAAAGTCAAAAACCGCATCCTTCTAGCTCTTGATGTATCCGATAATAAACGCCAAATTATGAATAAGTTTTTACCGGCCATTATTATTGTATATTTTCGGATTACGTCCGATTTTCACTGGAAAGGTCCCTCGCCATCCCTCTTCATCAATTGAGGTCGGATGGTATGCTGTCAGTTGGGGGGCGGTTTCGGGCGCATTCGGACAATAGTAGGTTTTTTTAGGTCGTCTTGCTTTCACGTCGCGAGGGATAAAAGCGAAGAGACGGCGAAAAAAGCACCCACCTAACCCCCCCGCCCAAACAAAAGTTTTGCCGTGGTGCCCATTTGGCACCCTCACTTGCTCTTATGGAAGCACCACCGGGAGGCGTATGACTACGCATTCCTCGGGAGTGGCCATGGGAAGGAGAGGGGGTGAAACCGAATATATACAGGGTAGAGGACCCTAGGAAAAGTTGCGATTAAAAAATTCGGGGTACCTTGGAAGTCGAAAAAAAGTTATTAACGGAAACGTCGGGAGCTGGCTATAATCTTCTTGTATACCTACATTGTGTCGAAGATAAGGATGTCTATCATGGGGATCTCCGAAACCATAGAAGATAGGAGTCAAATTAGATAAATATCCCGAAATTTGTGGGGCTAATGTTTTGCTAATCTGACCGCCTCCTAATTATTGTCCAATGTAATCGCCAATTGGTCAACAACTAAGACAATATAATAGTCATTAAAAATTTTTTTCTTGAATGTGATCCAAATCTGATAGCTAATTATTATCAAAAAACAACCAAATACATATTTTCCCCTTCGTAGCAATGAAAATAAAAATAACAAACCGTTAATCAGAAGAACTCCAAATGTGTAATGTGCGATTTACGTAAAGCATAAGTACATACTCTAATTAGAAATTATTCTCCTTATCTAAATTGAGCTAATTCTAATTCTGAAGTTTATAGCTTGTTGTTTCTGAGATGTTTCAGCTAATGTACTTACGAGTATTTCCCATTTCGACCTTTTACGAATAAAATTGGTAAATAAATAACGATTTTGACGCCGTTTGTTCAAAATGCATATGGTTACAACAGAGTTGCTATGATGTGCAGGTAAGTAGGAATTCCCCTACTTACCTGCTAACGTTATCAGCAGTTGAAAAATATGTGCTTTGCTAAACGGAGGCGAACAAGGGCGAACCAATTTGTTTTCAAATTTGATTAAAATACGCTAAAAATACCTAAACATTCACGGTTAGTTAGTGGTTTAGGATAGTATCTTACCTATACATATATACCAATTCAATTCGGACAAATAGGTACCTATCAAGAATTTCTTTTATCATTCGTTTTTGTATGGTTCTTTCAAATCAAAACCAATACATTAATCAGTGGTCTTATCAAAACTACTCGAATATCGGACTATTTGTTTCTTTATGTATACTACTTGTACATTTTGTTTTCAGTGACACTTCAATTTATTGTTTGCCTCGTTTTTTCCCTTCTATCACGATAACAACTAGTAACTACACAAGTGAAGGGTAATGTCATGGATACCATGCATGATATTGCATGTTGCCTTCTTATTTTGAAACACTATAATATTAATTAAAAGCTACTTGGTGTCAAGTGTCCAATTAAATTTACCAAATTAATTTCCCCTGAAATGGATATTTGTATACATAGATATATAGGGTCTTGACACATCTTTCACTCTCACTCAACAAATACCCAACATAAAAGGTCATTATATCGGCTATGAATAAAAAATTGCTATTCATATAGTAGGCAGATCTAATCAAATTAAGACAGTCAAAGCTCTCATTCATGTATTATTTTGCTTAAATTTCAATAATTAATTTAGTGTTTCTCAATAAATAATTAATGGAACGTTGAAAATAGGTGTACATTTTTTGAATAAGTGAATGCAAATATTATTTAGCATTATAAATAAATAAAAGGAAGTTCTAAAAACACTCCAAGTATTTAACTTCAGTGTATTTTTTGAGAAAAATGAATTCTGCCCGTCTGTGTATCCGGAGCCTTCAGATTTCAGCACTCAGGCGTTGTGGAAATTTTTTTATTAATTAGTGTTCATTAAACTTTGTTGCTGAAACTGAGTTTCTCCATTTCAAACCAAACTACCGAAGGTAGACTAATGTCTTGAGTACAATGTTCTAAACCCAACTCGTGACTTTTGTTAATTTCAGCAAGCATCGTTACCGGGTCAATGCCTATTGGATCTCTGATATCTGGATTTATGATTGATAAAATAGGACGTAGAGTAACAATGCACATTCAGTGTGGTGTTGTAATTTTGGGATGGCTTTTAGCCGGCGTTGCCCAAAATCATGCGACAATGTTGACTGGAAGGTTCGTCTCCGGCGTAGCTTCAGGATTGGGAATGGTGGCAGGTCAGGTACTTTGCAAGAATTTAATAATAATAATCTCGCCCCTTTTATTATTATCCATTACGTCTGAATTTTCAGATAAATGTAAAACTAATTATTGTAGGTCTATAATGCTGAAGTGTCGTCACCAAAGGCCAGAGGCATTTTAAGCAGTGCCCCTTTTGTGAGTTACGCTGTTGGAATTTTGCTTGTCTATGCTCTGGGTGCAGTGTGCGATTGGCGACTGGTAGCAGGTATGTAAGACCGTCAGTTTCAATTTGTAACGCTTCATTTCAGGATTAAGCACTATTCCTCCATTTATAGCAATAGCTATGCTTTTTTTCTATCCTGAAAGTCACGTCTGGCTTATAAGAAAAGGAAAAATCGAAAAAGCGCGAGCGGCTTGTGTATGGTTTCGAGCGAGTAAAACAGAAAAAGTAAACAAAATGTAACGTTTATCATTAACTCACGCAAAACATTTAAGGCCGGCAAAGAGGTTGAAGATTTAATTGCGAGATTTTCAAACGAAAAGTTGGAAAACTACAGTTGGAGGTGTATATTCGAACCGTATTGTTTGAAGCCCTTAATTATTTCGATAATTTTCAATTTGCTTCAAACATTATCGGGGGTGTACGTCGTTGTCTTCTATGCTGCTGATATTATTGCTGAAATGGGAACCCAACAATTGGAAGTAAGCGAAATGCTGATCGCTGTGCTCACCGCACTGATTAGAATGATCTTTTCGTTTGTTTCGTGTGTCTTATTACACTATATGACCCGAAGAAGGCTGGGTCTACTATCTGCAGTAACCACATCGTTGTTTTCCTTCATTTTAGGCATTTGTGTGTACCTCGGAGTTTCCTCATACTTTATGCCAATTTGCTTGTTCCTTTATGTAGCAGCAAATACCGTTGGACTACTTGTATTGCCCGGTGTTATGATTGGTGAACTTTTTCCGGCAAGAATTCGAGGAGTAGCTGGTGGTTTAAGTTATACCCTGTTTAGCATTTCTATATTTGGCGTAGCTAAAATATATCCATTCCTTAAGAGAACCTTACGGATTTACGGTCTTTTTTCATTATTTGGGGTGTCGTCGCTGCTACTTTGCTTGTGGATCTACTTGACGCTACCAGAAACGAAAAACAAAACTCTACATGAGGTGGAAGATTACTTCATGGAGGAAAGTATACTGTGGACAAACAGAAAACAAAGAGATAGAAGAAGATGCGACAATGCGGACGCGCTAATGAAATAAACTAGCAAAACTTCAATGGTACAGTTCTAAAATAGGAACCTAGGGCTGCTATAACAAGTATTGTGATTGTTATCGTGGGTGAAATATATTCACTTGTTACTGATTTACCTGTGTAAGATAAATAAAAATCAACTGCCATAGTTACAGTATACCTTCTCAGAGGGTATGCTTTTGAGAGAAGATTGTGTCTTTATCTTTGAGATCATTTTATTGTAATGTTATTTTATGGACACGTTATTGGTAGTATTTTGAGTTTGTTTTAAAGTAAAAAAATAATAAATAATTTTAAGTACAGTTAATATTTGTTCTTTCCAATATACAGGGTGATTCAAAATACAGTGCAAAGATTTTAAAATTTTTTCATATTATCGTAGGTCCTAACTTGCTTCGTTTTCTAGATACAGAGTGTAAAAGTTTTTAAAAAAAATCGGTTTTTTATCAATTTTTCAACAACCTTTCAGCCGATTTAAATAAAATTTGGTAGGCTTATTTGTCGTCATAAGAGCATTTTTTTGGCGAGGATAAAATAAATAAAAACCGATATTTTAAAAAAAATTACACCCTGTATCTAGAAAACGATGCAAGTTGGGATATACGATTATATGAAAAAAAATTTCTTGTTTTTGGCTGGTAAATACACCCTTAAAATCTTTGCCCTCAATTTTGGATCACTGTATACTCCGATCTTTGATTCAGAATTTGGTGGCAATTGATGACTCTGACGGAGGTTTGAATCCCAGCTAAAGCATTACTGTTTGTAAAGCGAAATGAGTGGGACGAATACGTATTGGCTAAAACTATTACCTACCTACTACAAAATAGTGCGAAACAATGTAATACAGGCAGCAAACGAACACGAACCACATTACAAGTATTTGGACTGAACACCCCAAACAAAAAGCTGTATTTCATACTGCCCAGGCCCGTAGCCAGAATGAAATAGCAGGGGTGGCCGGTATTTTTGCAGGGGGAGCTTAAGAAGTTTTTGGTAAAGACTTCCCTTGTAATGTTTGTAAAAGAACCATCAACTGTAACTTCCAGTGAGGGCAGGACCACGTTCTAGGTGGGGCTCAGCCCCCCTTGGCCACCCCCTGGCTAATTGTAAGCAAAAAACCATTTGATAACTCGGTTTCTCGTTATCCGATAAAATTGTTTATTATTGACTGCAAAATTGTGCCGTCGCTCCATTTAGTTGATGTATAAACCAACAAAGGTGGAAATTTATTTGATTGCTCCTACCTGGCGATCATTCTTTCACTGCGGAACCCCTACAACAGTTTAACAGTGGAGGAGTAAAATGTCGATTAAATTATGAACTTAAATTTGAAAGTTGGAGATGGAACTTATCGGGTGCGTTCTTCAATTCAAAGGGCATGATTTGAAAGTTGGCGTGTTGGTCCCGTGTGGTGGAGGCACACAGACGCCTGATTGAGCGTAACACAGCTACCGCGATCTTCGGGGTCCCCGATCCGGTACTGCCTACAGTTGGAAACTCTGGTGAAGAATTACAAGCAGCGCTTGACTTCTATGCCCAATCACAGACGTTTCACGCCACTTTCAATCTCGGTTAGAGTTGGGTCAGACTGGGTAGTACGAATAGCACTCTTACGTTGTGATATACTATGGTGGTCCTTTTATTTTAAATGTTAAAACGCGAGACACAATCTAGAAGAGAAATGAATAAAGCTAAGGGCTGTGTGCGTGCAAAAAAAAAGAAAAATGAAACATATTACGCACGAAAAATCAACACGGTAAAAAAACCTGGGATAACACATATAAAAAAATAAATCAACTGCGGCAGAAAAATGCAAAAGAGAAACGCAAAATTAATCATCTCAAATTGCACAATAAAAATCAGGCAATCGAATCAGATGCAGTTAAACAAATTAATAAAAGCGAGATACAAGTGACATAATAAATACAAATGGCAAACAAGATAATAATAATAATAATGCACTCACTAGAAAACATAAATAAATAATGTCATGATGAGGTGCAAAGGGCGAAGTTCAGATCCTAATGCGAATCTGTTTGGACATCAATACATGGAAATACATCAATATAGTACAAAAACACATCAAGCTACGGTTCAATTTATAGAAAACAACCGGTAAAATGATCGACTGCCATTAATTTAACGCGAAAAGGGTAGATGAGATTGCAAGCAGTATTCAAGGTACAGTCTTTTAAGAAAAGATAATTACGGCCCCCCTTCTCGTATAGCTAAGACACAAAATGAGAAAGTAACAGATACAGTGAAGAATACTAACTGTAGTAGGATTTTTTACACGGTATAAACGGTTAATAGAATCCTACAAGGCCATATATACTAAAATGGGTATCTATAGAATAAGAAATTTTACCCAGATACGAGTATATACCAAAAATAAACACTAAATTGTAAAATGAAATAAATTCAACTGGCAAATAATGCCCTCAGAACATTAACAATGTCAGGAGAACAACAACACTATAAACAAATAAAATTACTTGTTTAAATCTAATAAAAACAAACTGATGAGGTCATATCAAATTTCTAAATATTAAAATTTCCTGCTAATCAAATGTTTATCATTTGTGTCTAAGTTTATCTATTATCAAAAAACGTCATATTAAGTAGGTCATTTCGAGTAAACTGCCTATGGGTAATGTATGCAATAAAGTTGGCGAAAACCAAGCGATATACCTGTACCTTTAATTATCCTCCTAAAAGTAAAGTTGACAGTCAGTTTTCTTTGTCGCTAATGTGGGCAATTATCAATATTAACAGCATAACCTTAACAAAAAAAATGTTACGAGATTGTTAGTCAATGGAATAGAATGTGATACCCTTTCAACTTTGCTGTTACTTTTATGTCAAATTACAAACTAAATGTTTCAGTTATTTAGTCATGTTCGGTTTAGTTTTTTTGGTACTCCTCGCATTTGGAAGGGAGTCATATTCACAAGGTGAGTACGAACTCACTGAACATTCCTTTTACACTTGATATTTTCAGTTATCTTAAACCACCCGGCGTTCCCAAACACTAGTGAATGTGGCATAAATCCTACAATAAATAGAATTTTTGGTGGTCAAGTGGCAGAGCTCGATGAGTACCCTTGGATGGCCGCTATAGAATACCAAGATAAATATGATGGTAATCTAAAAATCAAATGTGGCGGATCTTTGGTAACCAAGAGGCATATTGTAACTGCGGCACACTGTATTAATAGTCCACACAGACTGTAAATTTTCAAATCAACTTTGGCAACCTGTTATGTACATCATTTACTGTTTAGGACCCGTGCGTGGATAGGGGACTGGAAGCTTTCTAGCGATCCCGACTGTCGAAATGTACAAGGGGAGGTTGTATGCAACGAAAAGGTGCAAAAGATAAGAATCGCACGCGGTGTTTACCACCCTAGCTTCGACGAAGAATCAATCAAAAACGATGTTGGTGTGATTTTTTTGGAAACGGATGTAAAATATAACAGTAAATAATCTATAATAGCGTAATTTGGTTTGTAGTTTCTTCTTATAGGTTACGCAAAGCCGATATGTTTGCCATCACATACTCTACTAAACCCTCCTAGAGGTACAACATTGTTTTCTGCTGGCTGGGGCCTCACGGAAAACGGTACCTAACTCCAATAATTTTCTAGTACCTACTTACTGTAATGCAATTATAGGAACAGCATCAGATGTTAAGTTAAAGGTGGATCTACCAATAAAGCGAAACAGTGAATGCAATTCTGCTTTATTCGAAAATTTGGTGTACAACCAGTTGTGTGTCGGGGGTGAAGATGGTAAAGATACTTGTGGGGGGGATTCTGGTGGACCTCTAATGAACTTCTATGTCAACATATCTACCGGTGAACAAAATTGGTATTTAATTGGCGTCGTTTCCTATGGATACGATTGCGGGGTGCAAGGATTCCCCGCTATATATACAAGAGTCGCCAGTTATGTACCTTGGATTGTAACAACTATTACAAAGCGCTAACTTATGGTTTGACTGGAGAGTTTCAGTATGTAGTACAGTTTGATTAAAACAATAAAGCAAAATTCATTATAAATTGTTTAGTAGAGATGTCCATGTGTCTACCTATACCATGTCTATTTTAGCCAACACTGAAATATTAAAATACCATATATGACGCTTTTTAAGAATGGCTATTGTAGTACCCACCTTCTCTTTGAAAATGTATTCTGCATCGTAGGTATTTAGAAAGTTTTTATTCAATGCCAGCACAGAAAACTAACTCGTAGTATGGCTCTGGACCGCTTTGGGACGATTGGGACGTCTCGAAGAAATATATTTATTGGTGATGTATGATGAATGTAAGCCAAGCGGCCTGTTTGAGATCTTGGATTGATCTCTGACTTCAAACAAAGGACCAGGTTGTTTCGTAACCAACGATAATAATTTTATTAAATTTGAATAACAAGCATAATTAATATGTGTATAAACTTGAATTTATCATCTTAAGATTACTGGTTTACATTATTTTCAAATCGACCGATTCCGGCGCTGTTCAGAAGGCAACTTCTTAAAACTGACTGAATTAATATCCTCGAAAACCCCATGTAATGTGGCCATGTGGTTACGGTCCACCTGGTCACGTATTCGGACACATAAATGATGAAGTTAGGGTGACAAAGTGGTGGTTTTCTTTGAGACCCAAACTAAATATTAAGTTAACACGAAAAAACATATGGAAAACGTAAATTAAATATCGAAGTGACTAAAATTACTTAATTATTCTAACACGGCCTTTAAATATGTACATATGTATAAAAAGCCCTCCTCATCATCTACCAAAAAAGAAAACATCGGTAACCATAGCATACGCACCCATTTACTAAGCTATTTTGGTTTAAAAAAATCAAATGTGCTTTATCTGCACAAGAGGTGTGCACAATTTATACCGGGTGATTCATTAGAAGCGATGATCACGTGAATTTCGCGCGTAAGGTTTTAGTGTTTTTTGCATTATTAAATTGACGGTTTGAATTTCGTTAGTAATTTTGTTCTGTCATGACTGTCATTTAAGAAACCAGTGTCGCCGTTAATTGTTGATGCACCAAAATATGTAAGAAACGTGACTGTCTAGTGTTAGTTTATAATTTGTGGTAAAACAGAAGCAGTATTTGTAGATTATAAATAAGTAAACGATTTATTGAAAGCATGATGATACACCACTGCAATTAAATAAATGATTATCAGCTAGTACCAACTTCATAATTTTTTTGATTTGCGGGAAATTCAAACTGTCATCACTTCTAATGAATCACCCGGTACTAGTTTTGTGTGTTATAGGATCATAATCTTTGTACTTCTCTTGTTTTTGAAAGACTGGCATATAGGCCAATTACCGGGTTACCATGCTTCGCTTCGTAATGAACGAATGGAACTTAATGGAGTCAAAATCTCATTCTCTTCGCTATATGACTTTATTATGTAGGATAAAAACTTTTCGAGTTTTAAGCGAGAAACTAAAAAAAAGTCAGAAAAATGTCTAGAACTCACTGCAAAATCATCATTTCTTTAAACGACATTCCCTTGACAAATATTTTGGTAACGAAGAGTTTGGAAATTATGACAAATTTGTTACCGATCAAGAAAAGTCGATGGAGGTGTTTCACTTAATGCAGTAAACAAATTTGCAAATAGGACGTGTTTTACTGCACCTTGCCACATTTTAAACAGATACTGGAACGGGAACGTGTACACTTTTTTGTACCTTAGTAGGATTCTTCAGAGTACCTACACACAGCGGCAATTGTGCTCCTATGGATCATTTGCAAACTGCGATTTTAAATCTATTTTAATGCCATCTGACAAGTGAGATTCTAAAATAGTAAGTAAACAGTAGCAATTTTTGAGGTCAAAGCACAACGACCGCAAGTTTGATTTCCTTTTCAAACGAAAGATCCCGGTTGTTACACATCTTCGGCTCAGAATCACGACAACTATAAAAATCAGAGTGAAGTAGTTCCATAGAAATCTATACCTACGCGTAGTTGGTGAATTATCATTTATCAGGCTGCTATAACTTCACAAATCGCAATTCATGAACGAAATACTTGCATAAAACTGGATATTAAAAAAATCACATAAAACTTATTACGGTCAAACGTCAAACGTACAACAATTTTATTTTTATGATGATATGAAAATATTCATTTTATTGCAAATGTCGGTAAGGTACGGTGCTTTGGACACGACTTAGTAAGTAAAGTTAGTAATTAGATATGGAAAAACATAATTCAATTTTTATAGTATATACGACGACGACTCGGATGATTACGAATTTGAGGAGGAATTATATCAACATGCCAGAACGGTGGAAGATTCTCAAAAGGTTCACGAGAAGACATGGTGGGACGTGGCATTAGAGGTTGGTTTCTTTATATGGTATACTCGCTGCGCGTGCAAAAAAAATTTATATCTTGGCGATAACCTTTTGAGTATATTACAAATACCTACTATGAAATATAAAGCTGCTTCAATTCAAATGGATTCTCTACAGTTTCTTTCCATAAAGAACAATTTTCTTACATGAAAAATTATAACCACAGGTGCCCAAACATTTTTGTTGTGGTACAATCTTATACTCAAAGAAGTACATTACTTAACTTAGCTTCTGTAAATTAGGCATTTGGTCTTGAGGTACTATATAGTAGCAGTAGTTTAAGCAAAATCATTGGGTCTTATTTCCGAATTCCTTAAGAAAACGTTTCGGCATCACATACAAACTTACCCTCAATTTCAATACAGGCCACTACAGCGGAAGTATGCCAAAAACTATTAACCCCCATTTTATACAACGACCGTCTCCATTTGCCACCAACTCTTTTTACCACCAACGTATTTAGGAATCGATTTTTACCACCATTATTAAAATTATTCATCTTATGCTACAGAGGAAGGAGAAATCTAACCTAATCACCTAACAAGTGGTAAAATAGGATAGCGTATGGAAGTAAAACTGCAGTGGTAAAAATTAGAGTGCTAAAAATGTACCCCTATCGTCAATAATGGCTAAATTTATTATCATACATTTCTTTAGATCTTGCGGGTTCTTCAATTTTAAAATTCTACATACTCACCAGATTTTTATTGTCCTCCTGGTTCTCCCATTGTTTCAATTCTTCAAAGTTATTAAACTGAAATTCTTTAGTTTTTTTAGATTTTCCCGCCTCTCCTTTCTCTCGAATTTTTTAGATTACCTATGAATTTAGGTTCTTTTTTCGAATTCTTCCGATTCCAATTCCTTAGCTCTGTCAGATTTTCAAAGAAATAAGATTCTTCTTAGGATTCACTTTCCCCATGATCTTCAGACTTGTTTATTTATTTTATTTTATTATTTTTATTTTTAAGTGGGCGGGGTTTGATCCAACCCAACCCACATTTACAAATATTCATGCCCGGGGTCCTTAGTACCGCAGTCGCGCTTACACTCCACTGCGCCAAACAGACCCGCAGTTTTTTTTAGATATTGCCTTGAAGCCCTCGGATTCCCACACTTCTTCAGATTCTTCACGTCTTGCAGATTCTTTGATTATTCAGTTTCCTCGAAATCTTCAGAACTTCCCTTACGATTTTTGCGGCCATTTAAGATCCTCCAACTGCCCCATGTTCTTCGGATTATTCCGATTCTTCCAAATTTTACGCCTTCGTCCAATTCGTATGATTCCCTAGGTTCCTTACTTTTTTAATGTTCTTGGTTTTTTTTTAAATTTAGTAGCTTACCTATTCCCTTGATTTTCATATTCAATAGTTTTGTTAAATTCTTCGAACACTTTAACTCCATTGCTGCCTTGGATCTTTCAGAAGACCTAGTGAACCTTTTTATCTTCAGTCATTCGGATTCCTGGATTTCTTCAGATTCCTGAAATATACCGTTTCGTTTACACGGACTCGCTTTAAAGTTGTTAAAAATATTTTATTTCTTCAAATCACTGATGTTCTTCATTTCAAATCTTCGAGGTTTCTCGAATCTACTCGGTTTTTCAAATTCTACGTATTCATCAGATCCTTGCGTTTCTCTCCGCTGTTCCAATTCTTCAAAGCCGTCAAATCCATACGATTCCTCAGATCATCAATATTCTTCGGATGCCTCAGATTTTTTTTCAAATTCTTCGGACTTTTCCGTTTCCTCGTATTCTTCACGTTCTTTATTCTCTCAAAATTTTTCAGATATTCTTCAATCTGACGCTGCAATTTTTTTAAATTAGCTATTTGAATGTTTCTTATCTATCAGAATCCTAAGTTCTTCGAATTTCTTCCAGATTTTTCGGGATCTTTTGATGCTTCCAGTGTTTGCAGATTCTTCAAAATGTTCAAAATCTTTCGCTTCTTCGAATTCGGACGATTCTCGACTTCCAAATTTAGCTCTAGCAAAACCTTTAGATTTTCACATTTCTTTGAGTTCTTATAACACGCGCTTGACCTTTTGTAATTTTTCTGATCCTTCACATACTTCGGATTCTTCAGTTTCTTCGAATATGTTTTCCAAATTCTGGAAATTTCTTCAGATTCTTCAAGTTCAAATTCACACGTTAGTACGAGTTCTTCCAACTTCTTCGGATTCCTCGTATTCTTCAAATTCTTCAAAAAGTTAATTTTCTTCGGACTCCTGAATTTCTTCAAATTATTTGAACCCTTCTGATACTTCGGACACTTATTCAAAATCTTCGGATTCGCCCTATTCTTTGGTTTCTTCAAATTCTTCAGATTTCATTTGCTTTAAATTTTTCAATACCTTTTATTTCTGCATCTGTGGTTTCGCACATTCTTCGGATTGTTCGAGTTTTTGGGTGGTTCTTCCTGTGTTCAGACTCTTCAGATCTTGCGCATTGATCTCCTTCTACATTCTTCGGCTCATTAATTTGTTCATATTCATCAGGTTGCAGATTCGCTATATTAATAAAATATAAAATAATAATTTTTTCTCAGATAAGTTTAGTTTGCATTTGTCTACGTCCACCGTAAGATGTCCATTTTAAATTCCAATTTAAATTATTGCTTTAATTGACTTTTAGAGCTTTCTTGTGATATACCTTCTTATTACCGCTGCAAATAATGGAATGATTATGGGATACTCTGCCGTATTGTTACCACAACTAAAAGCTGTTAATGGAAGCCTACAAATCGATGACGAAATGGGTTCTTGGATGGGTATATAATTAAAGCGTATCGTTGTACTTACATAAATATTATTTTTAGCAAGCATCAACTCGGCTTCAATTCCAATAGGGGCACTTTTCAGCGGAATTTTAATGAACTATTTCGGCCGTAAAGGAGCGTTGCTGATTTACGTTGGTACAGTTACTGTCGGGTGGGTTTTTATATTGATCGCGGAGAGCCACACGCTCGTTCTGATTGGTAGATTTTTTGGCGGAATTGCTACGTCACTGGGCATGGTTCCTGGGCAGGTAGGTACCTAAAAAGTTGTAGCAAAACCGTGCAACAACGCTTGCAGGTGTACATTGCGGAGATTTCACACTCGAGTAAAAGAGGTTCATACAGCAGTATTTCTTTTATCGGTTTATCCTTTGGAATCTTACTCATTTATTGTCTCGGTTCAGTTTTGCAGTGGCGAATAGTTGCAGGTAGAGTCTTGTTATGTACGCTTAGTTAATGCTTGCATACATTGCAGGTCTGAGCATAATCATCCCAGTGGTATCCGCCTTGATGCTACTTTACCTACCTGAAAGTCCAGTGTGGTACATAAGAAACGGTAACCTTGACAAGGCCAGAAATGCCTGCTTTTGGTTTCGAAGGAATATCAGAGAAGTTGGAGTACCAAATAGTGCATCAAGGTGCTACTCAAAAATTTACTTGTAGGCACTCGAAGAAGTTGATGAGCTCGTCAAGAGAGTCGCCAATGAAAACAGGGAAAGAGAAGAAAATCCACGATCGACACTAGCTATGTTTTTAAGTCCACAAGTACTAAAACCACTTATCATTATGAACGTATTGATTATGTTTCAATCGTTAAGTGGTGTTTACTTATTTGTGTTTTATGCTGTGGAAATTATTTCCGAAATTGGAAATATTGAAATGAATCATTTCTTAGTGGGTGTTATAACAGCAGCAGTTCGAGTGGCATTTACAATAGTGGCCACAATCTCACTGGCATTTATTGGACGTAGACCGATAGCTATTACTTCGGCGCTAGGTGCTGGAATATCCGCAATGAGTTTAGGTACAATATTGTACTTTTCGCCCAACCCCAACAGTTATCTGTTAGCGGGCACTCTGCTCTCTTACATAAGTAGTAGCACGGTAGGATTGTTAATACTTCCCGGCATGATGTTGGGCGAAATTTTTCCTGCTAAGGTGAGAGCTCTATCTGGTAGCATCTCATTCAGCATGTTTAGTGTCTTTACTTTTATTATTACAAAGATGTATCCCATACTAAAACAAACTTTTAAGTTTTATGGTATGTTTTGGTTTTTCGGTACCATATCTTTTCTGGCCGCTGTGTACGTCTACATAGCCTTGCCAGAAACAAAAGGTAAAACTCTAAATGACATTGAGGATTATTTCCTAGGCAATAATTTCTTATGGGTAACCAGGAAAACTTCAGGAACTAATCAAGAACAAACATAAATACTTTATGAACTGTCTAAATCTCAATATGCAATTCTGTCAATGTAGTGTACATGTATTTCTTGCTGTGCGTTTACGATTACAAGGGAAAACAAAATTTAAATTAGTTGTGCATTGCTACAAGGAACCTTTTGCCTCCATTTCAGATTAGCAGCGCATTAGAAAGACATAAGAAAGAACACTACCGCATTTTGTTCGTATTGAGGTTTTGCTTGTTTTTATTAGGGCACCATGGTTAATGTGACGTATTTTTTAAGATGGGCGTTTCCAACCCCAGTTTTGATGTACAGATCTCCTCAACAAATGGAATGGATAATCACACTACCTCGCTGCGATAGTACCACAAGAGTGATTATGTGAAATTTGCTGTTAATGCAGTTGAAACTGTTACTCTCAAGCAACCTGAAATGCAATCCAGCATTTCCATGGACTAATAACCCATCCAAAGCTATGGGCAAGTGAAGGGAGTATGCGTTTTATGATGCCCAGTCTCAGGGAAGTCCCATGAAGTCCAAAATTTAGTCACTTCTTCGCTAAGTCAATCTAAAAATCTGTGTACCAAATTGTCCAAATTTGTGTTTTATAAGTGTTTTTGAGTTATCGTACGAAAGGCCGGCTGGACGGAGGGCCGCACGTTCAGACTTTTTGACGTTATTGATAAAGGGCTACTCGCAACTCGCCATGCATGCCAGACAATGCAGCTAACACTAACAGTTTTGCTACGAAAGTTGCGTCACTTGAAACAGCTACGTATTTCGAGCGCGCTGCAGTTAATAAATTCGCCAATTAGCTAAACAATTTTGACATAAGAAAGACTGAAGCAGTTTTCAATAAAGTGATCCTGTCTTCAGACAATATCTAAGTATGGGCTCGACGCAACACCAGGAGACAAATATTTAGAAGTAGAACGTTGGATTATTATATGTTTTCTTATCTCCGGGAATAACATGGCTTAAGGGTGTCATAACTAAATTACTATTTAAATCTTTAAAGGGGTCGCAACACTGAACGCGGTCTGCCGGCCGCGGGCAATCGCTTGCGATCAGCCGCGCGGTCTGGTATGTCACGCAGGATGCGGTCCATGCCGCGGTTCGCAACAAAATTTTAGTATAGTCTCGTTCGTTTCTTAGTAAGCATGAATGAATAATAATAATATAATAATATATTTGCAGAAAAATGTTTTCAATTGCAATTACATTGAAATACATTTGACGCAAGTATTGTCAATACATATAATCAAACCAATCAAAGCCCAAGCCGGTGCTCCACAAATTCCGACACACTATAGGGTTCAATTTGAATTAATATGATTTTCACCGCTCTTTTGAATTCATTAAGACTACTTAAATTTTGTATATTTGTTGGAAGTCTATTATAAAATTTGATGCAAGAATAATAGCAGTTCTTCTCCGCGTTAGTTCGTCTCTGCATGGGTACGTTGTACGAGGCCTCCAGCTTCCTTGTATTGTATGTCCGATTTTATCGTGACTAAATAAAAGTTTACATAACACTCATGTTTCAAACATATACACTCCTGAGACGATAAGAATTCCATTACCTTTAAATACGCCTCTGCAGGATTGACGGTATGATAACGAAAAAATGGACCTGATTGCTCTTTTTTGGATTAAGAAAACTTTCTCACAGTCAGAACTATGCCCCCAAAATATTATACCAAATCTGAACCGACTTTCAAAATTCGCATAATAAACAGATTTTAAAACATGCGCATTGAGGTATGGTTTCATGACACGTATAGAGTACAATGCAGAATTTAATTTTATGCAGATTCTACTTATATGCGCGGACCATTTCAAAGTGGGTTGCAGAGTTATTCCTAAAAATTTAGTGTTCTCACACAAGCGTCTTTCAGCACCACAAATATTAATTATGTCAGGTACACTTAAATGTGAATACACAGATTTGAAGAGCACGCAATGTGTTTTATTTTCGTTGAGTAGGAGTTGATTAGCACTAAAATAGGACCTCATGTCACCGAACACTTTGTTGCTAGTTAACATTAGGTTATCAAATTTCTCTGCTACTATCAGGATGTTAGAATCGTCTGCGTAATTAGTAATTAAACAATTATCGCCCTGGGGACCCTGGGGTAAGACTAAATCAATGTCGTTCACCAAAAGAATGAATAGCAGTGGTCCAATTACACTTCCTTGTGCGATGCCCATGGTAGTATAGAGTGTACTTGATTCCCTTATGACTGCTTCTCCTTGTATTACCACTTTTTGGTTACGGTTCCGTAAAAATGACGCAAGCCAGTTATGAGCCGTACCTCTAATACCATACCTTAACAGCTTGTCTAGCAACACGTCATGGCCGACTAGGTCATAGGCCTTCGAAAGGTCGAAGAATATTCCCAGTACCGCTTTACCATTCTCAAAAACATTAAGTATTTTGTCGGTAAAGTGAAAAACAGCTGTAGCGATGGATCTACCTTTTATATATCCATGCTGAGAAGTTGAAAAGAGTCCATTTTTATGTAAATAGGTAGTTATTCGATTGGACATAGCATGTTCAAAAATTTTTGAAAAGGAAGACAAGATGCTAATAGGCCGGTAATTTGCCATATCTCTTTTGTCGCCGCTTTTGTGTAGAGGCATTATTATTGCCGTCTTGAGTCTATCTGGAAATACTCCAAATTGCAAGGAATAGCAGCCATTTTGGCTCCGTTTTTAAACCGCGAAATTTGAAATTGAACAACAGTTGTAAATTATGTATTTCGCAGTCGCTCTTGGATTTGGATTGTGCGAATTAGTTTTGTGAGTGTATCGTTTGTATTTCAATGTTATTGCAATTGGTTAGACCACCAACAATACACATCTCTAGACGATGTACTCTTTGAGTGAGACCAACGATGTATCTCTATCCTTCTCAGTTTTGCATGTTCTCTTCATTTATTGTTAAACACAATAGACCATGTATAATGATCAAGGACTAATTATGTAAACAAGTTTATCGAAAAGCTGTACAATATTTGACTGGAGATGCACAAATGCCTATTTCTTTTACCATTGAGTAAATTACTTATTCAATGCATTTACTGCATTTTTCTATAATGACACCTTCTGTAAATTACCTGGTTCTCAGGTCATTAGAGGACTAGATTAGCATTGTTTGTTAACATTTTTAATTATCCCTTTATTTCCTGTGATTTGTTCTAATCAATTTTACTGATTTATATAGATTTTTATAGTTATTAGGTAGTCATGCGCATGAATGAATTCACTTAGGTATGGTAGAACCTAAGAAACCGGCACTTCGAACACCTAAAATAAATCTCTTTATTTTATTATATATAAGCAATGAATAAGCACCTTTCACCTTATCAATGATATAAGGGTGAACAACAACAAAAATGTATTTTTTATAAACATGATAGCTAACATTTAAAATTCTGTTACAATGTTAAAAGTATAACATATACCGATTTTTAAATAAATTCTTATCTTTTCAAAAAATAATAATTTTATTTATTTATATTTATGCACAACCCATGTAGAATTTTTCCGAACATCTTTTGTGCGACAAGATGACTTAGCTTATTGGTCCTAAATTGAGAATTCGTTTGTAAAATTTGTTGATTCCGCGGTTGATCCTCTATTTTCTGAGAGGCAAGAGCCGAGATGATATCAGTTCATTATCGCTAAGTTGATGTGAAATTTGCGGAATTCCATCATATTCTTAAACGCAAAAAATAAATACCTAGTTGAAATTTTTTAAAAGTGGGAGATTTTTTTTACCCACCACTAATTACCGGGAAAACCCAAAATTTCGCTCATGGTTTTTTAGCAATTATGATCATAAGATCACACTTCGAAAGAACGTGATTTGACAATCCAAACGCGTTTTGATCACCGAAAGAAAGCGCGTAATTATTAATTTTCGTGATGTCTCGCTACCTTGACATGAGCAAAACAATGACACTTTTTTTTAATAAACTTGTCAGTGTCGTCTATTAGTTATCGTATCCCGCTTAGAAATTTAACTAAAAAGGGGAATTGGATCATTTTTTGTAAACGGTTAAAATGAACAAGTGCATAATCGAATTTCTTTGAAATGGTAGGCTCCGAATGTGAAAACCGTTTTCTAATATTCTCAAGAATAAAAAAGGACATCAAATTTAGAAAACTATGCACACTGTATTTATGTCGGTATCGTTTCTGTTATTGTATATAATATACCACGACGTTTCCTATGTTTATGTTCCGCTAATAGGCGAAAAAATGCCTGTGTGTCATTTGTTATCTATCCAGCGCAACTTTCTCGCCAATTTATTTGTAAAAATCGAAATTTGTCGTTCCTTTATTTTTTTGATAAGCGGATATTCCTGATATCTGATCATTTTGAAAAAATAAGTAGCATGTGCCTCTCTTAGTCTCTACTCAGTAGTAGTATTTACGAATTGCGATATTGAGCTTCCCGCTGGTGTGGTAGTCATGCGCTCGTCAAAAAAATCAAAACGGTGCCACATTTTTACACAAGAACAAATTTGCGGCAAAAATCCTTCTAATTACTGGTATTCCACCTAGGGGTTTAGCTAAAAATTGGGCTATTATTTGATTCCTGCCTAAACAAATTTCTTGAAGCATCCTGATAGAATGAAAAAGGTTTTAGAAAACAAAAATTATTTCCAATGTACCTACAATAAATATGCATTTAGTGCACTTTTCGTCTTGGGAATATGTGACATTATGATTCACAAATCAACAGCATTCATGAACATTTGCTAATTATATAATAATTTATCTAATCCATATCATTAGGAACGGCGTAACAATGTGCAGGATAATGCCAGGTAGTTTCTTTTGTTTTCCCTTTCAAGTAATGAGTTGTCGCCTCAGGCGTTATAAGTGCAATTTGAGTTGCCTATCCTTACGTTAGCGTTTTGATTTTTTTCTGAATGTCGCGATACATATTTTTTTAAATATATGCATTATCATAATAGGTGAAGATAATATCTTTAAGTACCGCCGTAGGAAATACTGTCGGATTTCCAAATTGGTGCTGTAGGTTTTTCTACTCCCATTACAACGGCTGTTATTTACGAAAAACGTTTTTTCTATTCATCGATTTTCCTAAAAAACCAAGACCGATATTTCAACTTTTTTTAAGTACCGCCGCTCTTTTCATCATTGCAAAGGATATCCACTATCGAGAATTTGTTAGACTTCAACTACAAAAGCAGCATTTCATAAGAACGTTTAGATTTTTTCCAATATGGCGGATTGACTACAGAGGAGCCACAGTTACAGTGAGTGCTATCATAGAGTAAACAACGTTACTCTATGGTGCCAGGGCCGTAGCCAGAGGGGGGCGAATCAGGGCGCCGCCCTGGCAGGCAAAATTTTCGCCCTGGCAGAAGAATAGCGATGACATTCTAAACAAGGATAAATTGTGCAATACTCTTGTGCAGATAAAGCGCATTTTCTTTAAAACATTTATTTTGTCTTTGTAAGTATCCTTCTCCCACAATCCACTCTTGAGGTATAAGGAATTATAACCGATCACTATAAGCGGTTAAAATATCTTAACCTTATGATATCCAACCCAAGCCATAATACACTTTACCCAAACTCGTCCTGAAACCTTCATTTTCATGCCTACTTTCTGTCAGGAAATTTGAGTTTCCATGACAGAGGCACAGCAGACGACGTTTCCTGCTGCTTGTCACTTTACTGGCCGCACCTGTCACTTTACCCACAGCCGTCTATAATTACAAGCCATGCTGAGAAGTTTGGCAACGTTGTCTGAAAGTCAATCGGTGGGCCGATTTAGTTTTAATGGCGTCTTGTTGCTCTTGAAAAATGGCATTTTCCTCTCTCCTGTGTTTCGCCTTGGCGGTTTTAATATAGAAGAAAGATACTTAGGCAGATTTTACAATTGTGCATATATATTATTTATTTACAAAAATGGATAACATTTTTATTTGACTTTAAAATTCGGAATGCTGTAAATTGGTAACTGCATCATAATGCGTTTTCCATCGAGATCTCCGAAATTGGTGAACTTCTGTCGAAACAGGTCGAGGTGAGGCACACGCTTGAGCACTTAATTTCGGTAAAAGGACAGTAAATCGCTGCGCATCAGCGAGGTTTCATCAACTAACAGGTGTGATTTGAAATGGCAGACTTAAAGCCAGTCGCTACTCCAGTGGGTGTAGGTACGAAGCTTTTAAAGAGGGGAGCCCTGTAGACTTCAAATTCCCGTACCATGAACTCTTGGGAATAAGATGAAAGGTTCCTTCAGAAAATCGATTTGACATGTCCGTGCTAGAATTATACCTGAAATACAAACTAATGGTATTTTTTCACGATTAACACTTACCGTACTTAGTACCACGTAGTGTGTAGGTCATATTTGAGCTTGTACAGGTACTTTGAACAAATACAAGTGCTTGTAAAGGGTCCAGTAAGGAGTAGCCTGCTTTAGAGGTTATGACAACAAATCGATATATTTCGTTTAGCAACTTACCTGAATAATAATTTCTGGTCATTCCGTACGGAGTAACACAAATTGTCGCAATTTCGCTCTGTTAAGACAGGTAAATTGGAATATTACACCCAAAACACATATAAAATACACCCAAAATCTGTCAAGTTGAATTAGGAATCGGCCTACCATGCAGTGTTGTCATAATTCTCAGCAGTCAGCACGGCTGTAATTATAAGACGGTTGTGCTTTACCGGTCGCACCGTCACATTTTTAAATGTCTATAATTACTCCTGTCAACACTGACATATTCACATTAATCAAAAGTTCTATACAGGAAATAAACAACTCAATTCCTCAAAACCTTCCCCATGGATATTTAATTTAATTAAATAATATAATAATAAAATAATTAAATATCCATGGGGAAGGTTTTGAGGAATTGAGTTGTTTATTTCCTGTATGGTTCATCACTCCATTTAGAGTATGGATCAACCACGAGTTTTTTCTGACCAGAAGTTCTATATAAAAATTGAAATTTTATATTAAAATACAATTTCGGGTAAAATTTTAATACAAAACTCGTTAGTAAAATGACATTACCTGACTCGGAAATTAAAGTACTCGGGGCCACGCACTTCAACATTTCCTCGCCAGTAATGTATCATTTTCCGGATTATTATGTAAATGTCTATTTAATACTGCTGCATTGTCTGTTGTTGGCTGATAATTTGTTAAAAGCAATGAAATAATCAATCAATGACCTTGACCTTGAACTTTTGAAAAATTACCCCCCCCCCCAACCCCTACTTAGCGCCCCGTAAACACCGCTTTTTTAATTCGCCCTGGCTATAACAATCAAAGCCCTGATAGCAACAAACCTCTGGCTACGGCCCTGTATGGTGCTATCAAATTCAATGACAAAACCAAAGGGTCGAAATGAAAGCATTAAGATAGACAGTATGCAATTACTTTATTTAAACATACATAACTGGTTGGAGTATAACACACATTTACTTCTAATAATTCAGAACTAGACTCAGAAACAACCATTCGTAGTGAACCTTTAAAGTAGGTAACTTTTTAATAATTTACATTTTGTGGGGATTGCGGAAATGTTTTCCTGCATACTTAGCTGCCGAACCCAATTCCTCTTCAATGCGCAAAATTTGGTTGTACTTTGCCAACCTTTCTGAACGGCATGGAGCACCAGTCTTTATTTGACCTGTAGACAGTCCCACTACAAGATCCGCAATAAACGTATCTTCAGTTTCTCCAGATCTATGAGAGACCATGGTACCCCATCCGTTCTTTCTAGCTAGCAAGTGAGCGTCGATAGATTCGCTCACTGTTCCAATTTGGTTGACCTACAAAGTTTCAATTATTAGCAGTTGTGTAAATCGAACGAGTTTACCTTTAGAAGTAAACAGTTGCATGCTTTCTTTTCGACAGCCGTTGCAATTCTCTTAGGATTAGTAACAGTAAGATCATCCCCAACGATCTGAATGGAAGTGTTGCCTGTCATAGCGGTCCACGCACTCCAATCATCTTGATCGAAGGGATCCTCAATTGATACAATTGGGAAGTTCTTAATGAAGTCTTGATACATCGCTTCAAGTTTATCCGCAGCCAACCACAAGGATTTGTCTGATTGGGGATTTTTGAAATCGAGATCGTATTTACCTGTGAAAAGAAATGTTGACAACTGTAAAGGATAACTACAGTCAACGTACCATCCTTGAAAAATTCGGACGCCGCCACATCCATTCCAATTTCAATGCGACCTGTGTAGCCTGCTTTGGCAATTGCGTCAGAAATAAGGTTTAAAGCTTCCTTGTTGCTTTGAATGTTTGGAGCGAAACCACCTTCATCTCCTACAGCAGTGGCGTCCAAACCGAATTTGCTCTTAATAACCGACTTCAAGTGGTGGTACACTTCTGAACCCATCTTCATTGCTTCAGAGAAGGTTTGTGCACCGGTTGGCAAAATCATGAACTCCTAAAAAAAAGTATGCGATTATACACAGAACCTCTCAATCCCAAAAATTCGAATTTTGGAAAATTTAAATGTCTAACATTTTCTATGATCATCATTTAAACTAATCTAAAACTAGAACTCATTTCTTGGGCTATGACTATTTTAACTAAATAAATGCAACTAATATTTAACTCGATTAGGTGGGATGCTTGTAAAATTTTTGAAAATTTAAATTTTGAGTTATTTTTTGTGTTTTTTAAGGATTAATAAACCAATACCAAAAGTCATCTTATACTGTAGAAGTCGAGGTAGAAGTATTTGGATACAAATGGAACTGGCCCTTAAAAATGTAATTTTGTATGAAAACTAAAAATGTTCTTAAAATTGTGTAGAGTGGGTGCTTGTAGACGGTGCTCCGAAAGAGTTTGTCAACATTTCAATTTTGGTTTTTTCTATAATCACAATTTTTTAGGGTAAATTTGCAGAACTATTTGCAAATTCTATCTTCCAAACTACTATGATTGCAAATGGTACTAACAACAAACATTGAAATTTTTTAAAAATGAGTGGACGTGGAATTATTAAGAAATATATTTTCAATAATAATGTGCCAACCGTACAGAGACAAAAAATGTGTGCAGTTCATAAATATTTGACCGATTATAACAAATACAAATTTGAAATTTCCCAATAATAACAACTTGTGAAAATTAGTCTTTTCTTAGCTATAAGGTGACACATCATTTGCCTATAAAGTCAGTTTATATTCTCTTTTGTTATTATAGCTATTAATTTGTAGTATTGATAAACACTTAAATGTTGTTAAAGTAACAGTCTTAGTATCTTAGTAGATAAAATGTAATCGTCATTGCGCTAACCCCTTTAAAGGTGATGGTTTTGTAAAAGTTGTAAAAGTGCAAAAGTTCAAAATCATCCAAATTACACCATAAGATAAATGGGTTGGTATTGTTGGTTGAATAGGCACATAGCAACCAATGAGAGGTAATACTTATTCCAATATCAAGTCACACATGATTCAATGCATCATAATTATAGTGACAAATGACTCTAGGTACAATTTCATGGATTGCTGTTACAATTATAAATGCATTTCTGTCCTGGGCATCATGTCTTAAGATATAGTCCTCCACTAAAGCATCCACAGACCACCAGGGGATATTTTACATTTATAATGTTCTATATGAACCAATGAGATAAGAAAAAAAAAACAGAAATGAAAGCTAAACCAGTGGTTCTTCTTTCATTACATCGATTAACTTACCTGCATTGCCAACTTGTTACCAGCATGGGAACCGCCATTAATAACATTAAAGGCAGGTACAGGAAGAATGATATTACTGTTGCCGGCGAGATCAGCCAAATGTTTGTACAAAGGAATGCCACGTTTAGCGGCACCCGCTTTCGCGACTGCCAAAGATACGCCCAAAATCGCATTAGCACCGAACTTTGACTTGTTTTCGGTGCCATCGAGCTTCAGCATAAAGTCATCGATCTCTCTCTGTTGCGTAACTTCGAATGATTCCTTTAAAAGAGCAGGTCCAATGCTATCATTGACGTGACCGACTGCCTTTAGTACACCTTTGCCGTGGTACTTTTGTTTGTCATTGTCTCTAAGTTCCAATGCCTCATGTACGCCGGTACTGGCACCTGATGGGACTGCGGCACGGAAGAGTCCCAGATCGGTTACCAAGTCGACTTCAACGGTGGGGTTGCCTCGTGAGTCGAAAATTTGACGGGCGAACACACTTTTGATGGGCATTTTGCAGTAAGTAGTGAAGTACTTCAACCTACAAAATGGACAGAGATGTCACGGAATTCTTTTCATTTGCGAAGAATTAGTACAGGAAAATACAACAGCAAACAATTGGAGTATAGAGTAGTTACTTACAAAATTGTTAAATAATTAAGATGTAATAATACTGACTGACCTACTACAAACCGGCAACGATTTTTACTGGCAGTCGGTAGCGAATTGCCGACCAAATTGACCTTTATAGCATTCAAAGGGCAATTGAAGGGTATGTGCGTGTTTGTAAATCACAGATAGATGGCGATGGTAGTATCCGAAACCGCCCTGACCAGGCAACAAGGGCGATTGAGAATAAAACCCAGTGGCGTAACAAAGAAAGGGGCGGAGGGTGGTGATCAGCGCGGAAAGCGATTTTTTTCGGTTGAATTTCGCTATTCAACGTTAGTGTGGTCATAAATGAGTAACATTAAAATGAGCTAACGGAGGTAGGTGCAATTAATAAGGTATTGTTCACAACGCTCCAGAAGTTCCAATATTCTACGTAGGCTCTAATTCTACTTAATTTACTTTACTTATCTCGGAGCAAAATCTTATGACGAATAGTTATAGATCATCCGAAACTCTATCCAGAACTCCCATCCCATTCAGCGGATTTGATGCTGCTGTGCGTGCCCATTACTTTTTTTATTCTGACGACATAGGTACTACTTTCAGATTTTTACTTCGGGTTTCTTGTCCTTTAAAAATAATCAACACTCTCCCAGACCACTTCTCCACGATTCTTCCTCGACAGGTTTTAATGGCTAATTAGGTTTTCCTGCAGTTTTCCGAATTCGTAAGGTAAATACCGGAGTAGTATAGAACATCTTAAGACCATCTGCAGAGGCACCACTAAAAAGGCATTATATGGGTCACTCTGTCATTGGGCGCAAGCCTGTTGAGGGCCCAGAACAAGAGAGGGATAATAAATAAATAAATAAATGGCCCTTGTTTCTGGAACAGTTGAAACTACTGGTTCAGTACGAACTACCTCCTTCACAGCAATAAGCTTCTCCGTCGGTCGAGACACCGTCAAAGGGTATAGACGTTGAAGGGGCCGGTCCAAAAATCCGTTAGCTGGTTTCACTTTTGTGACTCGGAATTTTCCATCACGTCCAGGGTGATACTCCGTAATAACACCAAGAGACCATTCGAAACGACGACATCATCTCCAATAGCAGGAACTCTTCGATTGATAAAATTCATTACATTTGGGTTATAATAATTGCTAAGTATTCTTTACGATAAATCGCTTTTGCATTTTCCATCTTAACTTGCATTAAATTATGTCGTCGAGGGAGGCTTTCTGTTTTCTTCAGGTCAGGAAAAATGACTATTTTAATGGGCCTAATGAATATGGCAGAGGTCAAAGGATGTAGATAGCTGTTATCTTTTGTAACCACTGTGAGATGTCAGTCATTTACGGTGTTAGCAACGCTGGTTGGCCACATCTATTCTGATCCTAATCCAGCTTTGATCTTCCTAACATTCTCTTGAGGAGATCCTTTATCCAGCGAATTAATCTTGTTCAATAATCCCCATACTGCAGAACATGCAGATGGGATGCAGGTCCATCCATTGTATCTGTCTAATGTCGCATTTTTTAGCGCATTTTTTAAGAATTAAAAAAAAATGTGCTATTGTTTGCGTTTTGTCCGTCCGTCCGTCCGGACCCACTTCTGCCGTTTCGAACTACTTCTAGGGGACTGGTCCTATATTTTTGCAGTTGGTAGCCTATTCCTTGAAGGTGTGCCAGACGGCCATCAAATTTCGCTGTCTAAAAGGGGGGCCCCCGAATTATTTCCTGAGATGCTGTTTTTGAAAGTAAACCGTGCATAACTTTTACATACGACAACCAATCGGTCTCAGATTTTGCATAGGCATGCCTTTAGTGGTGCCAAGTTGAACTTTAGAAAAATGGGGGGGGGGGGGGGGGTAAACACATGTTCTACCCTTCATAGTATGAAAGGTCTCAGTACAAACTGTAACTTTCCTGTGCGACTCATTTTCGAGATCAGTAAGCGATGGGGCCAGGGGGGGGGGGTTAAAAATTAATTATATCTCTCATTGTATTCTAATTAAAGGTCTCAACGAAAGAAACAGTTTTCTACAAACTACTGTCCTTCTTTCTGTCCTCTTATCAAAGTACGGGGTGGAGGAAGAAGGAGGGGGGAGTGGAACTAGTTTTATCCTTCATGGTACTCTAATGAAAGGTCTCAACAAAAAGAATTAATTTATACTAACCATAGTCTTCCGCCTCGATCCCGTGTCGGTTATAATTCCTTATATCTTAAGAGTGAATTGTCAAAGGAAAGTACCTACAAAGAGCGATTGGGACGTTTGGAAGAAATATAACCATTGGGCATTTAAATAAAATTTGATACATAGCCAGTTGGAATAAAACCCAATTTAACGCCAGTTTCAAAATTTCGTTTTGCGCATGCGCAGTGCCAACTTTCATATTTATGGAGGGATTTAAATGAAATTTGATACATAGCCACTTGGTATAAAAGAAAATTTAACACCAGTTTCAAAATTTGGTTTTGCGCAAGCGCAGTGCCAACTTTATTATTTATTTTTCTTTTCTCCCAGTCGACACTATGAAACAAATTAGCCGCTCCCATGAAATTTGTTCCGTTGTCAAAGAAAATCGTTACCTACATATCTAATGATGTTCGGAGTTCCCTCTGTCCCAGAAATATTTCAGCGGATATTTGAGGATATGTTGGCTGACTGACTGATTGTGGGCAAACAAACTTGTTCTGTGAATAAAAAGGAACAGATGATTATGCATTCTAATAAAATAACATCTGCCATTCGTATTTCAAATAGGACGCGGACCACGATATAAAAAGACGTTCAGAACATGACAATGATGTGTATATGGAAAAGACCGCGACGGCAGAATTTAAGCTTGCTCTTTTTGACGGCTAAACGTGCTAAATACTATGATTTATATGGCTTCTGCTATAAAATAAAGTTTTGTATTATACACGACGATAAAGGGAAATTAACCAAATATCCAAAATATCGCTTTATCGTCTTATATAATAAATAACTGTACTTTGACGAAAAAAAGATTTAATCTTCGCATATTTCGACTAGACTGTAGATGGTTTTACCTCTTGTGACTGTAATAGGAGAATACCTAAATAATTACGATAATAATCTGTAATACTTATAAATATTGAATCTGAAGTAAGACGAAACTTACGTTTCCATATAGATAGTTTAACACTACCTACTTCTTCGTCTATAAATAGGTAAGTACAATGTTTTTCGCTTCTCTCCATCGAATAAATGTTTCATATTCCTTTTGATATATTTGACGAGACTTCACTGGAAGTAAATCTAAATTCTGCGTTTGTAGTGCCTAATCCTTTCCGGATTCATTTTGTTCCAAAACAGTTTCTGTTGTTTATATTAAACAATCTGGTTACTACGGTGGCAGCCAACTAGCTATTTTTAAGAAATATTTGCATTGTTCACATTAGTTAGAGGTTTGTTAATGTATTTTTTGGAGTTTTAAAAAAAATTTCATTTGTGACACGTAGGTAGGTATCTAACACGTTTTTTAGGATCGACTTCGCCTCGTCCAAAAACAACCAAATTCATCCCAAAAAACAACTGTGTTTTAAGGAGGTACCAGCAACAAAAATAACTATTTCCTTAAATCTCAGAAACGAAACTAGGAAACCATCTGAGATGCTACATGATCATCGCCTGGAATAACGTTCTTTAGCACTAGTAGTTGAATTCCTATATTTTATGTATATCGACTACACCAACGGGTTTAAACACTGTTAACAGTTTTAATTTGTTTGTCACTGCAGTTTTCAATTATATATGATTTAGTTCGTGGCGAATTCTTATTGGTGCATCGTTAGGGTGAGTTGGAATGCGTATGATTAGTATATTTTTCATTTCCTCCCTTCTTCCTTGCTAACACTTGTTGGTCGACAATACTTGAATTCATTGCTCAAAATTCAGTGACCGCGTAATTGCAGGATTCTTAAATATTGTTATTTTATGGCGATTAACCGGATGTGTTGTAATTCTTGAAGTAATTTTGGAATGGAGCGTTTGGTCCGTCCGGCGAATATTAATTTGGAGAATGCAGACGTATATACAATGACCGCACCTTATCTGCGATACTAAAGCGAGATAACGAAATTGGGTCAATGGGTCAGTTATGTTAACTTTAATTTCCTTCAATTAATTCCTCTTCAGTGGTAATTTTCTTTGAATGTTTAAATTGCGAATGCTTAACTTTATTAACCTATTGACACATGATCAAATTAATTTTGGTAGTGTATACATGTGAGTGCACCTTCTTTCAGGGATTGTAACACGTTCATTAACGCAGTCGGTTGTGGATCGGAATTCAAGTACTTTGCTCCTCAAGCCATAGCCATTGCATGGACCGAGTGGATTAGCTCGGGTTCCTTGGTGTCTTTTACCTTGTTTTAGACCACATCAGGCCTATTCTATGGTCATATATTCCTCCAAAATACCCTCTTCAAAAGATGGGTATTACTGAGGAAGATACATGCCATCTCTGCGGACTGGCACACGAAACGGCAGAGCAAATCCTTTGCGAATGGAATGTGACTACTGACTCCCGTCGATAGACGTAGGCAGAATAAGGGTAGGTAACCTTAGGGCGGTCATCGGGTTCTTCAACAACCTCAAGATACTTAAAGAATAAGTAAGAGTGTCGCAAAAATTCCTGTGGGATTAGATGTTAGAAGGCGTTAGTTGCCTGTACCCTCACAATGAACCAATTAATTAGGGCGATTACAACAAGTATTAATTATTTTCCAAAATTATTTATTATAAGAGTGGGGGATTGCAAATTTTACACAACCGTACCACATCCTGAAAGGATCAAGCTCTTCAAACGTTCAAAGTCAAACGGCGAACAGTTGGAGGTATGGTTATATGGCTATAGGTACCTAAGTATGCTTTGAATTGTTACCACCCCTTTAACAGTAGCGAAATCGAGATCTCACGTTCACACTGCAATTGCAAATAGCCGTGACAAGCCCCAAGGAAGGCGGTTTTCTTCGGATTGGATCCCAATCTACCTACTCCGCTTATGGCCACCTGCGGCAACTAAATATGTGACGAACGCAACGTCTCGTTTTACTTCCATTCATTCATAATATTCGTTTTTCGATACAAAAATGCTGTTGCCTACGTGATTATAAGATCGTACCGCTAGTTTTAATTTTACTTTCCGTTTC